ACAGAACTTACATGCACACAAACAAAAACCTGTTTCTTAAGATTTCAATCCAATCCACCAAATTAAGGTCAGACAAGCACCTGAAATTTCTTATACTTATCTGATCAAGATCTCCAAACCACTGCCAGCCATCACTAACTTTGTCATCAATTTGATTCAAATAAAACAGTGACTGATTTTGGTCTATTGTTTTTTAGAGGCTTATCTAAATTATTTCTTGATTGACAACCAGGTATACCTCCTAGCTGGTAAACATTTCAGACTGCTGATTTTACCGGTTCATTGGTATTTGAAAACATGGCACAATGGCTTCCTCTCAATCTTGTAGAGCTCAACTATTTTTAATTAACTACTATTGCACTCCTTTGTAAGTGAGAAAGAGAACAAGCAATTAGTTCAGCTGGTTATGCTTAAATCTACTAAACTGAGCACAAACACTACAGCTGGTCCACTCCCACCACACAGAAATGGTTTGGGCAAATTCATTCTCTTCTGATAACTGTATCCCTTTTAGCTTCTATCCATAGATAGAAAAGTTTGTTTCAGTTACTCTTTTAAAGGCCATAAAAACTCTGTTTCGCCTGAACTACCAAGTCCCTTTCTAGTGATAGAATTCACTGCTCCTCCACTGTCCTTCTTTTGCTCATTCCATATAATAGTAAGGCTCAGTATTACAGAAAGGGAAAAAGAAAAAAGAGAAAGAACCACACACACTCTTTTCCAAGTGACTCTCCACTCTCATGAAGTCTCACCAGAGAAATGTATACATGTGAAGAAGACAACAAAATTAACCTTAGAGGACAGTCTAGATCTATATTCCCACATTCAACACACGACACATGCAATAAACAGGCTTACCTAAGGAAATATATTGCATCATTTTCCAATTGCAGTTGAATCAATCATTTGAAACATTTGTTTTGTTTCATCAGATGCTTATCTGTCTCAAGTGATAAGAACGTACTGCTTATTACTTTCTCCAGTCCCATATCCAGCGTGAATCCAAGCAGTAGGGGAAAGGGACAGCGTAACACTATACTTTCCCATTCCCATACAAGTCTTACCACATAGTTTCCTGATTTTCCTGATATGTTTAAGAGCGTATTTCTGCAAGTTCACTGCTAAGTCTTTGACAGGAATAAATGCAGGCTACTATTTGGACACACTGTCATAATTATTTGTATGTGCAACTGCATTCTGGTAAATATTCCTACAGGACTGCCAGTGAAAACACTAGTGAAATACTCAGAGTGGGCATCACTGTCGCTTATGTCTCACAGTGATGCCATGTGAATATGCAGGACAGCATACACTAACCCCTTGCAAACCTTTATCTCCCTTCCTCTTTGCTTTCCCTGAGCCTTTACAGGATTTCTGTACTTATGCATCAGCTGATTAAAAAAAAAAAAAAAATTATCATCTGCGTCGGCATACGCAAGCACATAACAGTACGTTTTGAGCCTGTGCCTTTGGCAACACATCCTAAAATTTAGCAACAGCCAAGACTTTGACTCATAAACCATAGGATCACTAATGACCGCATAGATCTTTTCAACTTTTACTCCAATATCTCATCTAATCTTCACATAAAACACTCCAAAGAATACGTCTTGCCCACTTCCCTTAGCAAAACAGACAATGGCCAACTACCAAGACTGTTTAAAATACTTTTGCTCCCTACCCTAATATTTTCTGCCCTTAGCTTTGGGACTGTCAGTACCTCAATATCCCAGAAACCTTATAATTTGAGGAGAAACACACAGTAAACATAAATGAAGAATAATAAGTATATAGAGATGTTGGGGTTTCTTTCCCCTCAAACTAAATATTTCAGGCTGAACTAGTGGTTCTGTAAAACACATTTTGCATAGAGCAAAAAGACACTTTTTATGCATAAATACTGTTCACTTTTTCAGCATGTATTTTACTAGTAGGAAGAATTTCCTAATATAACAGAACAACACACACACTTTTTCCTAAGGAAAGCCTGTGCATGCACTATTTTTGAGTTCTGTAAAGAATACCAGAGCAGAAAAATGGTTCAAAAAGAAAAATCCTTCTCTGGCAGAGGACTGACCAGACAGCATAGTAAGTTAAATCCACTGATCATCTTCAGGATTCCCCAATTATGGGTGCATGGGTGGGCTTTGCCCACAATGTTTACATGACCCCTCCAACTAACATCCTGAACTACTGTACTACAGCACAACATTCACTAAAAACATACACAACTGTGAAAAAAATATACAGGAAAAACCCTGACAAGTTATTAGCCCACAACTGCATATGGTGAGAACTGATGGAGCCTTGCAATAAAAATAGTGCCCCAAATCAGTTCTCCAAGCAGAGAAAGTTTCCAGTGATAAGGGACACATGTAAGGCAAGTTCTTTTAAAAACCTGACTCCTGTTAAGCAGCTCATTGTTCACAAAAGGAATGGTGTTTACACAGGAAAAAGTCCAGTTTCAACAAATCTGAAATCCAACAGATGTTTCCTTCTATCTAAGCAAAACAAGTTTGTGACCTGTTTCTGCCCAATCAGAAAGCTTCAAAATTAATTCTACAGGAAAAAAAAAAAAAAAAACTGTACTTGACAGAATGACCCTGGAAAACAAAATCAGAAAAACCTGTATTTCAAAACTGGAGTTGCTACTAAAGTGAATTCACTCAAAAAATTTAGTCTTTAAACAAAATGCTTTACAAGCTGGGTTTGAAGGGATAAAACATGATAATTATAATTTTGGTTTGTGCTGGAAAGTCAGCCAGGTTGTTACTCACACAGCTCTGCATCGAATTAATGAACCTCTCTTTTCCAGACCTCTCCCAACATCCCCCCAAAACTCCCAGCTGCTCTTGGCTTCCTCAAATCTCTTAAGACCTCTCTTCCTCTGCACAGAGCAGTTAAATAGTAGAAGTGGCTGAGCAGAGTGTAAAAGGAATATCTCTTAATTTTATTTTTAATTACTACTACCCATACACACTAATCATACAGCAAGCACTTTGTAGAAGTGCAGAAAATAAAGAATTTCAGGCTTTGCCGAAGTCCTGCTGTTGAGACTGCGCTGTAACACACCTGACTGTTTCATTAAATCATCATGAGAAAGTTTAAGGACTTTCAAGATGTACCTGATGGTATTATACCATCACAGAACAAAGCTGGGTCTGGTGACATTCTGTTGCACAATGGAATGCTGCAAAGGCAGCATCTTCCAGGGAGTCGGTGCATTTTCTGTACCCAACAATACTTTGCTCTAGAAGATGAACTGAGGCAGACCCTGTGTCGCTGAGAATTTTATCCATTTTTTCATAGCTTTTATAAAATGCAGCTTCAGAGACCCAACAAATTAGACCAACAGCAGATAGAAGTGTCAAAGCCAAGGCTAAAATATTCTTAATCATGAGCATAACAAGCGTAGTCAGTGCATGCAACCTTCTGTGCCCATCTTTAGCTCCGCAAGTCCCTTCTTCACTAGATTTCACTCCAGTTATTTCTTGCCCTAGCTATTTTGTGAGCATTACGCAAAGATCCCACCTCCACAATGTTTTATGGGCAGGATGCTCAGCACTGAGGCTCTTTACCCTAGCTGAGGCCTCTGCATGCCCCAAGTTGAATATAACAAGAAGACGGGGCTGTAATGGGGGCAGCAGTGCAAAACACCATTATTACAACCAACACGAATATTAGCAGTGTGAAGGAGATCCCACTGAGACAGATTTCAAATCTGCCTATCAAACAATTACAGCAGAAGGTAGAGGTGGTTTTCTCCCTCCCCCAGTAATCCTATTTGTCCTTTAAATAGATCTTAAGTATAATTTCAAACTGTCAGCATTTTTGTAAAGAAATACCAGCTCAGACCTAATTGGATTTGTCAGAAAACCACAGCTAAACATTTCTGTGAGCTCCAACAGCTGAACAGCTAGAGAAAAAACCTTCCACGTTGGAATGTATAAGAATATGAAAGTTCATTTCAAGAGGAAAAATTTCCTTTGAAAGTTAAGTGGTAAAAAGACATAATTTGTTCCACAGTTCAAACCCCGTCCCTTAGCAACACGATGATGTGGTGTGGCATAGCTAAGGTTGTGTGACCTGCTCCATATAGACTATTATCTGCAGTTAACTGTTCAAACATTGTCACTTTGGGCTGCTCTGAGTTCACCACAATTGCTAAAGGTTTGTCTATGCAAACTTGCTTTTGTTTTAAACTTTTTAACCGCAAAGAAGAAAACGGAGGAAAAACCCTCAGCGAATTCTGACAGGGACACATTAACCGTAACATTTGAGAAGAAGTCATGTATCTATTTCATCGCATACAAACAAAAAAAAAATAAGGGAACATATATTTAGTTGAAGAGTCAAAATACCTCCTGCTCCTCTGGACTTTCTGACTTTTTTGCTCACAAATAAATATATGTTAACATGAAACTTGTTCTGTCCTTGCTATGTATATGATTAGCTTCTTGTTCTGTACATGCTCCTCTAGGCTGAAATAGTGCATTTTAAAGACAGTCTAGGAAATAATGGACTAAAATCCACACAAACCTCATCCTCTGAATGGCAAGACAGAATGTATTAGAATGATGTAGAGGTTACAGGTTAAGGAAGTATAATAGGTCAATCTTACAACACTTTCAATGCCTTCAAATTGTGGTTCCTTTAATGAAGACTGAGATTATTCCATATGTGTCTGGATCCAGAGGAAAAGAAAGTCATTATACAGATTGCATGTTGAAACTTGAAGCGATGGTCATTTCACTGACCTTAAAATAACAATCACTCAGGTTTTTAACGTTTCTATGTAGGAGAATATCAACTCAAGCACTCAGCAGCAGCATTTTCTCTATTTGCACAGTTGGTAACCAGCACTCCTGTGACTGAGGAATATAAGTAAACTTTGCACTGAATTCTGAACCATGCTTTGATCTGGGGCAAAAGCGACTTGAGATAATGTAATGAGTCTGTCACTGTCAACATCAATACTCGGCAGTTGTACACTCTCCTACCTGTTGGCTTATCCACACCAAGGAATCCAGCCTGTCCCAGGGTTTTAAATACTTTATGTGCTGGGAACTGTCCTTCTTCTTCCCACTTGTCCACAAAGGGATTAATCTCCTTGTCGATGAGCTAGATTTGAAAATAAATTTTAAAAGTTATTAACACAGACATTCCTACAGAAACACTTTTGACTACTTTTGTCTAAAAACTTTAATTTAAAAAGAAAAAAAATGTACAGAATTTTGACAGCACATTAATTTTCTTAATTTCTGTTGGATGTCCTTATTCTCTACCTGCTCACAACTACTACAACAGATGCAAAGAGGCAAATATAAATAATTTTTTAGCAATCACAACTACTACAACAGGAAGTTATCAGGGCTGGTTTAAGCCTCTCCAAGACCTATGAAAGTGGCAGTTTCCCCTCACCATTTGCTACACTTTCTAGAAACTGACAGGAAGGGAAACCTGGATTGGCCTCAGAGGGACCTTGCCAAAGAAGGTTGATGATCTGCTCATGATGACCACACACAGTACGCAAGACAGGCAAGGGGGAGAGACCTCATTTCCCCTCTCTTTGTTCCCTGCCCTTTGCCTGAAACCTCTCAAGGACATCAGCGCTGTTCAGGGCACTTGTGTCCAGTCTGCATTTAGACTTCCCTAGGATCTGACAAAACACACACTGGAAAAATATGGTCTTCTTCCAGATTTTATAGCGTTTCCAAGTCTAGTCCCCGAACAACTCTCAACTGGGCTATTGCTGTACGCCTTCCAAAAGTCAATGTCCTCAGCTGTCTGGCTACTGCCCTTGCTCTATTCAAGTTGCTGTCTTCCCTTCCAGCTATTGCAGGCAAAACACATCTGGAGTACAGACACTACGTTCAGTAACACTTCCAGGTTTCACAGCACAAGGATTGGACATCTCACCACAGAAACTCCCAGATTTCCCTGGCCATGGGAAGGGAGCAAAAATGGGCAACCTGCAGTTTTGCAGCCGAACTCTGAGCCCGGCAGTGACTCCCACACAGAGCTGGCTCCGCGTCAAACGGCCCTATGCCACGTGATGCACTGGGCTCTCGCGCTTTGCTCCACGTGCCTACCCACCTACTGTCTCAATAGCTCTGAAAAGGACCTATAGGTGTAGTGCCCACCCCCTGCCTATGTCCACAAGCCAAACCAGGGGTTGGCGCAGGCTGCTTCTGCCGTGTCGCCAAGTGCAGCATGCACCTGGGTCAGCACGTACAAGAGGGTCCAAATGCAAAACAGAAAAGCCACCCTGACCAAAACAAACACCAGTTCCCAATAGAAAGTAAATGTCTTTAATCCGTGACCGCAATTTTACTGCTACACTGTTTTACAAGGAGAGAATTTATAATTTTAAGAACTCACTCCTCTTAGTCTTTTCTCCACACTAAATAAACAAGTCCTGTGGTGCTCACTATTTCTTGAGCTGGAAATAGACTCCTCTCCCTCCCAAACTGCTGTGATCATGAGACCCTGCAGAGCCTTCTTCTGAGCTATCTATTTATTGCACATTCTTCAGAGAATTTCAGCCCATATATGGCTGCTTTCTGCTTCCCAGTCGGCCACAGAAATAAGGATACTTCACTGTTGGTAACAGAAAAATCACTTTTTCACTCCTCTCACCAAATTCTGAGAAATGTATATACTGAATGTTCCACTCATTCAGTAATTATCATCTCTCTCCCTCTCCTACACTGAATAACGTAGGTCTCATGATTAACAGTAACAAAATACTCACCAGGACACTATCTAGGAGACCCCACATTTAACTTTTATACTGCCATATCCTAGATGCTCAGATTCCAGCTCAGATGCCGGCCCTTAATGTTGAGTTGTTATTGTTTGTAACAACATCTGGTAATGTTCATTGGATTAAGTCCAGGGAAATGCCTGAAAGAGGTTATGCAGTACGTACGGAAAGTTATCGCAGCATTTTGATGGATCTTGGCAAAAGTATGAAGTGAAGGTACTAACACAGTTTTGTGCTTCTTATGGCTGGTACTGGGCCAAATGCTTCGCAGCCTACACACGAAGCTACCTTTGAAGTTAAACAGAGTCAGAAGAATGACTAAGGCATTAGAGAACTGGTTTTACGTCATTTCTACAGATTATGACCTGCTTGCTCCTGTGACTTTGAGTAAAACTCAAATTGTTTAACAAAGTTTAATTATTACTAGGTGAAGTTTGCCATGTGGAGTAAAACGAGATCTTCCTTGCATGACACAACAAAAAAAAAAAAAAAGAAGACAGCCTTGCTGCACAAACCACAAACACTGCATGCCCCTGAGTGGAAGAAAAAAAAAAAAAAGACTATCCCAGTCCAAATACTGATATCCATAGTTGTTTCTTAGCCACTGAACCATCCACTTTAAACTGTGTTTTTGAAAAGAAATGAAATAGGTTCTGACAAAAGCTTTTCAAACTTTAGACACAAATTGTTTGCAAGAAAAATCACACATGCTATTTACAATCATAAATAAGACTCTAAACAAACTAACCTACTTGCAGGCATGCAATCTCAGTTCTTTAAAAGTATCACCCCTCAAAATAAGCCTTCAGAAAATACATCCTCGGATAATTTGCACAGAGTCAGAGGGAAGGAGGAGGCTGTGGGGCAATGAGAGGGCAGATGGCTTGGATGGGAGAGGGGATTTGAGGAAACACCTCCCCTTACACCATCCCATACAAACATAACCCACAGTGCTGGAGAACTGCAGTGCCGGGCAATTGGCCGATGCTTCAGTACTGATTATTGGATATTATCATCCCTTGATACAAAAGCAAATTGAAACAGAGATATTTTCAAAGGTCCAAGCCAGCAATGACTGAAGAAACACATGCAATCACAGAACGTGTTTAAAACATCGCTAAAGACACGTTTATGTGGGTGCAGGTCAAATCATGCTGCATACCTAACCTCTGAATTTGCCCCTTCCCTTGGCTTTGGCCAGTTCATCACATCTGTGCCCCCAGAGAAATATTTCACGCTTGAACTAGTTTAAATCTTGACTAATTAACTTTGAATTAATTTTTTTTTTTTTTGAATGCACGCAGCTTTAAGAAGCAAACCCCAAGAGCTGCAGGCACAAATTATGCAGGCACTTTAACATAAATCATAAGGTAAACATGCAGTGTTTGACAAGTATACAGAAGTGAGCTTTCAGAAGTAGGTGAGCTGCTGGATTGTTTATTTTTATATGCCTTATCATAAGAAATGTGGAAATCGTGGGTGATAGCATTTAGACTTGCATCACTAGTATACTGACTGTTACAAGACCTAAAACTCCTCTCAGTAGAAATATTTTAACACAACGCACTGCAGATGCTATCTAACAGACATGAAGGAAATCTTTTTACCTGATTGAGCTGGCCAAATCTCAATGACATTTGGGATGTAAAGACAATTTAGGAGCCATATATCTTTCCCACCTGCTGATCAAGTACCAGTAAACCATAACAGAAACTCTGTTAATTTCCTGATGGTGAGGGCACAGTAAGTCTCATGTATGGGACTGGTGTTTTTCCCAAGCTGCTTCATCCGAACCACGAAGATGCACACCTGAAGAACTCAGCTGTGGAGGCAGCCTTGGTTCAGCCTACATCCCAGCAAGAGTTTGGGCTGCTCTCCAGGGAGCCTACGAAAGAATGGCTGCAGGGCTGATATCAGCTGTGAATTATTTCAAAAACCACTGTGGATATTTGCCCAGTCGGAAACCAATTGAGCCAACAAACTCACTTTGTGTTGAATGACAGTAAGAAAAATAAAAGTGTTTTCATTTAAAATAGTCTTGACAAAGTTTTGTGAAAACAGCACCTGTAGCTTCCTGCCCAGGAATGGGGAAATGTGGTGGCAGGGTTGGGGTGGGAATAGACACAGAAATTCAGACTTTTTTTTTTTTTTGTGTGTGTGTGTTATAGATTATTCTAATTTCTCTCCAAAACAGAGCAATGAAAATATCTCCCAAAAACATTGCCAGATAGTTGCACGTTTTGATTATTTTCCACTGGAAGTTAGTACACTGTTTAAATGAGAAAAGAAACAAAACCACACATTTGGGGATTTTTCTTTCACATGATGCTCAGTATTTTGTACTGATATTGTACCAGCACCTACCCAGAAACATTAGCAATTGCCATTTATTCTCACTGGATTCTAAAATAAATACACTATTTCTACAGCAGTAGAAACTGTAATTGAATTAATTTGGCTACTGAGAGTGTGTACAGATCTCCTTTACAGCAATTAAAGATTTATTCCCATTATTCACAAGCAAGTTTACTTTCTATCAAGCAATTAAAATCAGAAATTAAAGGCCATACCACTTCTACACACAATACCACTTATATCTATCCCTTATAATACTGTACAGTGGTACTGTACTTCAGCACACAATTAGTAAGATGATGAATCTTGAAAACAATAAACTGAATTCTTACAAAATGACAAGTTTACACTAAAGCTTCCTGTGAGTTATAACAAAGCTGAGATTAGATTTACTTACTAGAAAAGCAAAAGAAAATGTCTGAGAAAGAGGTATTTTGTATTAAGAAGATTAAATGGATTTAGTGGTGCCACATAACTGTACCATATTATGTTACAAGAGGCATTTTTTCCTTTAAATCAAGTTACAGTAATTGAACTTAGCTCTATTAATATAATAACCACAGATGACAAAATTAATGGGATTTTTAATGTAACAAAAAAGCAAATCAGTAAGCAACAAACCACTAATGACAGTTCTTCAGTGGTTGTATCTAGACATTAGCATAACACTGCCTTGAAAGGAAGGAGGTAACAGACCAGAGAGCCCTTTGCCTTCGACACCAGCAATAACTAAAGAAAACAATTAACAGCCCGCAAAACAACATTTCCCCTTGTGGTTATATTCACAACCACCAGCAGCAAAAACTGCACTGCGAGACAACTCGGCACCGTACAGATGCCAGTGCTGAGGACAAGACAATGCTTTAGCAAGACCTAAGGCAGAGTTGAGGTGGTCAAACCCACAGGCGATACCAAATGTGGCTGCCAAAACTCACCCCATGGGTACGAGGCAGCCAGGACCCCACCAGTGAGCCAGCCACCGTGCTGCCACCTGTGCAGG